GTAGATCTTTGGGAACAACGCGGTTCTTGATGCACCTTGTTAGGAAGGTGAGATGGTTGGTGTGGCGTGCGAGCTTGCTCGAACAACGCTCATGTCGACGAATCAACCTTAGGGCTGTGCGCCCATATATCCGGTTAATTTCGTAGAAAAGGTTGTGGTTATGATCGTGGTGAATAACAATAAAAGTTAAGTTTTTCGTTTGTCTCACGATGTAGCTATCTTATTATTAAAGATAATATTATTATTAAACCAAACAACAGTGCCGAACCCGCCAACGAGTTTAAAGCTACTGCGGTTTTACCTTATGTTAAAGGTCTGTCCGACAAGCTTCGCCGTTGCCTACAATAACAAGGCGTACGCGCTGTTTTCAAGTCGGAGACTACGCTAAGATCTCAGTTAGTACGACCAAAAGACGCTGTCGACCTGGATAAACAAGATGGCGTAGTTTACAGGATTCTCTGTGAATGTGGCAAGGTATACATTGGAGAGACTGGAAGACCTACGCGAGACAGAATTAAGGAGCACGATCGAACCATTCGACTCGCCCGTACCGAGACCTCCGCCGTTTCAGAGCATGCCCACAACACCGGACACAAGCCACTTTGGAACGAAGTAAAGTTTATTGATCGTGACCCTTATTACTACACGCGCAGGGTCAAAGAGACAATTCACATAAGACTTCACCCTAACAACATGAACAGGGATAGTGGAATGGAAATTCCAGAGGCGTGGATGCCCACGATCAAAAAAAACAACAACAGGAGAGCCGTGCGACAGCGGACCGCCGAGGGAGCAAATCACTGATCAGCAAGGATCAAAATGCACCAATCAGAGCTGTTGAAAAACAACTTATCACAGAAGAGCATCATGCTTTATTAGATCACGCATGACCAGTCGACCTCATTGCCTGAAGAAGACTAGCAGTATGCAGTCGAAACGTCGCGATCTACATCTTACGTGACTACATCGTGAGACAAACGAAAAACCTAGCTTTTATTAATTTTAGAATAATCCCACCCAATTGTATTGTTAGTTAGGCATGTGTGCTCCGATAAAGCTAAAGTTTCCTTTTTGCAAAAGGAAACCGCTTTTTGATGCTCTTTCAAACGTGTACCAAACTGACGTTTGGTCTGTCCGTTGTATTCGTTGTCACAGTCATTGCAAGGAATAGAAGAAGTGGCTTCGGTTCGTTGTTCTTTCGTGACAGGATCCTTAGGTTTGGCGAAAATATGCCCCAAAGTCTGAAAGGTTTTAGAGCAACTTTAACGTTGAGGCTATTCAAAACTCTCTTGATGGGTTCCGTAACACCCTGAATGTAAGGAATAACAGCAAAACCAGTCGCTACTAGTTGTAACTGATTTTTGGCAGTTGCGGAGAAAGGTTTTTTTTTCCTACTGATCTAGTAGTTGAAATAAGACCTGAAAAAAATTCAGGCCCGCACGGGATCTGAACCCGTGACATCTGCGATACCGGTGCAGCGCTCTATCATCTGAGCTAACAAGCCAACTGGGAGTCGGTCATTATGTTGTTTCAAATAAACCCTCCATGTGGTGAGCAATGACTGTAAATTTATGATAATTATATATGTGCAGTGCGGTTGAAGAAACGAATATAGAAACAATCCCCGCAGTTATAAACACTACTGAACTACTGAGAACAAATCCAGCGAGTAGCATAGTGGAGGGCTTGAACTTGGGACCATCTATTTATACGAACTCAGCGGCCCTGACCACTTGGCCACACTGCCTCCACCAGATGCTTTAACAACCTACTGTCTTTACAAGCTCAAACCAAATGTTCAATACCAAAATAAATTGTCCCAGCAAGGGAAAGTAAATGTCCAGTGTAAACACGCCATCCCGGTGGAGGACTTAAAGAAGTTTACAGCCAATTCAGGGTTAACTTAAAGCAACCCGTGGTCTCTAGTGAGAAACTTGTGGCTCCATTCAGTGTTATATGGGTTGTTGAGGAGGCCGCGGTGGGAACTTGGTAGCTAACAGCTTTGCCTTCCCCAGGATGAACAAGGAAGCGGTATGTAACAATGATACACGACAGGATAATGAAAAACCACCCTGGCAGACTTCAAGGCAAGTTTAGCTTCAAGAAAGTAGTCCGAATGATAGAAGTACAACATGATACAGATGGCCACGGAGCTTTAAGGCTGTACATTTCAAAGATATTCCGAAGAATGTTGCTTTATTTTTCAGCATGGCTAGAGTGAATTACGTACTGTTAACAACATCTGGCATCCATTTCGTGAAAGTCCCGATAACTTAACGGGCCCAAAGCCATATTCTGAAAGGAAAATCTAAAGAGCAGAAGAGCAGGTTCTGGCGCCTTAACCAGTCAATTGAAAGTTTTACTGTATAATTCTCAAAACTTTTGAAACCTGCACCTGAAACAACAAAAGAACATATTAACGGGCCCTTAAACTACCAGGACTTTCTAGAAACGGGCACCTGGTGAGGAAACTGTCCTCTTGGCGTCAATACGCTGGGGAATATGATGAGAGTACTAAGGTAGTGCTTTCCAAGGTCTACACAAATGACATTGATTGGGCCACAGGCAATATACTTAGTTATTTGAAGCTGGTTCGAGGGGTCGTCACATTTGACTTCTTTCGGGCCGCAGAAACCCGATCAGTCGTCAATGCACTTCAATTCTCGCTCTTTCATCTTGCCAGCTGAGAAAATGTGGCAATGTTTTGTCGCAGGCTTCAAAATAGCTAAAAATTCAGCACAACAGTCTTTGCAACACTTTCAACCTTTCCATCAGATTTACAGCAGTCAAAGTGGAGAGACAATTATCAGATGCATCAGGCAAATTTTTGTATGCACTTTTTTCCTACAAAAATTCCCAGCTGTGCAAACTTCAGAAGTGCCTTCCTGTTGATCAAGTAATTTTTGATCTCACTTTAAGAGAGTCTATTCCAACAGAAGCCAATCAAACTATTTAATTTTTGCGTAGCAATCAAGCTGTGAAGACAAGGAATGACAAACACAACAACAATGAAAAAAATAGAATAAAATATGAGCGATAATTATCATGGCGAGGCAACACTTTCCTGAAGAATTATAGTTGACGTGTAAACATAAACTTTCCAGCCAACAGAAAGGTGTTCAATTTCAATGTGATTGACACTGTAGTTATCAAATATTTAGTTGTTTGCCAGTACCTACGCGATAATAAAATTTCAAAATTTGTTGAGATTTTTGGCAGAGCAGAACAAGTTTTGTCAACCTAGTGTGGAGGATACCTAACCCTTTGGGCAAACAAACATTAGAAGTATTGTTTTTTTATATCTTAACAATTGGAAACAAACAGTTTCAAGTACTGTGACTAAAATTCCTGTTTCTTACAAACTTGTTTTTCTTTCATTAGTCCAAGTTTTAGAACATAGTGTAATAAAAACGAAAGAGCGATAATTCGGCTGTCGATGTACTATAACTATATATACATGTAAAACCATACTATTCTACCACAGGTACAGTTATTTATTGGAAGTTTCTCGTTTAAAAAGAATTTCTAATTTTTAAGAGTTTTAGATTAGATGGAGGAGTTGGTTTGACAGAAGAAAAGAACGATTTGGAGAGCTAAATGATATTTTAAATATCCCATTCAGAGATATGTTTTAAGAACTTGATAACACTTCTTGTTCTTCTCGTTCTGGTTTATATTTATTTACTTTCAAGATCTGACAACGATGCCAGTGAACAGAAATTGTAGAAATGATATCGATACAGTATGGTAAATATCCTGAATTGTGTCATGGAAATTTTCTTTTCAATGCGATAGAATTACCAATTCCACCCCTCCCCCTAACCATAGGAGTGTTCCTATTTTAGTTTACCTTATGTTGTTCTTTCAAGCAAGTAGTTTACTTTCTAATGCCCGTGTGAAGTTAAAATGATTATTATCACAAATATAATTTATTTAGCTTGTTTCAGACACAAAGTAAAATGAAGCACAACAGCTATGAACGAAACCTGACCAAAATCTCCCATGTTTTTTGTTTTGGTTTTTGCTCTGCTGCTATTATCGTGCCATATACTATTTTGCATGAATTGCACCGTTTTCCTTGTTCAACTCCTGGAGCAGGTTATTTATTTATTTATTCTACAAAGTGCTTGCAATGGCGAACTTGAGGAAGCTTGGATTGTTAACAAAAGCATTAATTGTTTTTTCGCATCCTTGGTAGTGGAGTCGAGCCAAAAATCGCTCATGATTTTGAAAATGTTGCTCTCTCTAAAAGCTCTAAGCCTATGAGGTCCTTGACATAAGGTTTCTATTACACTGATCAACGGAGGCTCTTTTCCTGAGAAGGTTCTTAGATAAACATCATTCTGGAACCAATTGAGCAAAATAACGAATGTCTTAGATTCAAATTTGGGTTTTTTGCTTTTTGGCGAGATGAAATCCTCTCACATGCAGCCGTTAGAGCACTATTGCACTCGTCTTCTGGCTCAAAATTAAGGATTTTCACCAGAAATTCTGCATGAGCGACGTTTTTATGTTTGGTAACAAGTGAAGTTGGCGTTCAAAATTACTCACTGTAGTTAGCAGAGGATTTAAAATAGCTCTCCTGGTAACGACATAGTTGGTGTTATTTTTCTTGCTGCAGTAATGCCATTGTTTTCAGCGTGCAATATGTGAGTTGAAGTATTTTGTTTTTAGTCAGCATTCTAACCATGGGTGGATGACTTGCTGCAATTTTCCACCACAAAAGCGTCATATTTTCTGTCCAAGGCATTCCATGGATTGATACTAAATTAACCCACACACGATTAACCCGTCCGTGTTGCATTATCATGCACCATCTGTAATTTTACAAGAGGTTATGATTTATAACCAGGGGGAACGTACGAGCCATGAAATAAACAGGAATTAATATTTTGATTTGATTTACATTTTTAGACAAACCCGAAGGTGCAAGGCTCACTACCAATGCTTCACAAAATACTGTCACTGAAGGAGACACAGTTACATTCAAGTGCATAGTTATGGCTGCTGTGCCACAAGTGTCAATTTATAAGTTCTATTTCAATGGCCGCCTCCTAAGTGGGAACAGCAGCAGAGAGTATACCCTCAACAACGTCAATCGATCTCAGCACAATGGCAAGTACAAATGTGTCCCATATAATGACGCTGGAGATGGAGCAGAAGCCATTGTAAGACTTAACATAAATGGTGGGTAGAAACATCTATGAGAATTTTTGAGTACTTTGGAATTATAATCGAAAACGGGAAAACCAGTTTTTTCCACATTGCGTCAATGAAACTTCCCACATGGTGAATTATTACAACCCCAAAGAGGGAAGAATAGAGACCCTAGTATTCAGTTTGCCCACCCTACAGGCTTTTCGTGGGAGAATGGGAATGAGCGCGGAGTGTGAGGTAGTTGCTACCTTTCCCAAGGTAGTTGGGAAAAGTGCTGGTGAAGGATGCCTGTCTTGAAAAATTTAATCAGTGCCCAATAAATGGGTGCCTAATAGCAAAAGTTGTGCCTGATGATAATGAACTGGTGCCTTATATCGATGGACTTGTGCCTAATAATGATGGACAGGAGCCTAATAATGATGAACTGGTCACTAACAATGATAAACAGGTGCCTAATGATAAAAACCAATGCCTAATTAAGATAAACTTGTACCAAATAATAGGGAAACAAGCCTGATAATGATTCACAAGTACATAATAGCAACAAAACTATGATTTGGTGGAAACGGCACCCCATGGTTACCCTAGATTGTTGTCAGACACAAGAAGTCTGTAAGTTTGTGTAGCTTTTTGGGAGCCCTAACAAGGTGGTACATTTAATTGCGTAGCAAAACACCTGGAATTTAGGTTTTAATTTATCTCTGTAGTGTATGAAGTGGATGGTTTTGAACCAAATCGCACTCTAATGTTATGGTGTGAAAATTTTGTTGTTTCTTTCTTCTTATCTAGTTCCTGTCCAGTTTATAGAAGTGCCACAGAATATAACAGTTAATACGTCAACTCCTCTGTCTTTGCGTTGTGATGCCTCGGGTTTTCCTGAACCTAGGATAAGATGGAAAAAATCTGGGATTAATTTGTCTGACACCAAGCAGCTGAACATCACCAGTAGTAACAGGAACGATGCAGGAGAATATGTTTGCATCGCAAGCAATGGAGTGAGACAGGAAAAGAGAGTAAGAGCTTATGTCACTGTGCAATGTAAGTCTTATTTCCAGTACGTCTTAAAAAGCTGCCATTGCTGCTGAATCCATGATACAGTCGAACCTATATTAAGCAGCACCATATTAAGCGGTCGCCCTGTATAGTGGTCAGTTGTCAAAGTCCCCATTTTTTTTATCTCCTTAATCGCTGTTATTTTCACCTCTTTTTAGTGGTCACCTCTATTAAGTGGTCATGGTCACCTTAGAGTGAGTGGCAACAGCCTGTTTCTATTGTCTTCCACCTGTAATGAACGGTCGCATAAAGCGGAACCACTCAATTAAAACTAAGAATGAGTTTTTGAGTAAAATTTAATCCATGTTTCTCTCTCGTTAATATTTTAACGAGTTTTTTACATAAAATGATCAACTATGGCATAAATTGGCATTTTTTATCATTGTGAATATTACCCCATTCTGTGAAACGCCAACTCCTGTGGGTGAACGCTCAATACAGGTTTGACGCTACATAATTACACTCATTTTCAAAACGTCGCACTTGAAAAAATTCTGAGAAACAAACACACTTTTTATTCCAATAAAAAGGTGACAATAAATTATGAGGAAAAAGGAACAACACAATAGGTGATGTCAAGTCTTTGTTTCACCTTCGTCATTACTTTAAAAAAGTAGTGTTCTCTCGATGTGAAATATACATGTATCGTACATCACCTCTTTGATAGGAAATAAAAATTATTTAGTGTATTTATATCTACATGTATAAATTCACCCCAACGTACCTTGTCAACATCCAAGAGAAGTCCCTTTCAAAATTGAAAATTTCCCACAAAGAGAGATTTGCATCCCACCCTAGCCATGCATTTTCTTCAGCCAGGCTGGCTTGAAGGTGGACATTGAAAACCTAGTCATTAGGTTTTTGCAGCCCCTCCTAAGCCTGCTGATTTGGACTTTCAAGGACAGGGTGTTTACGCACCATATATTGTAAATTGGCCACCGTAAAGAGTTAAGAAGCTGACGTTTCGAGCGTTTGCTCTTAGACAGAGCAAAGGGCTAACGCTTGAAATGTCAGGTTTTTAACTCTTTACGGTAGCTAACTTACGCCATCAGCTCACTTGATAATACTAAATAACCCAACGTTTTACTTGAGTTCTGTAGTGCACACGAATCCAAATAAATGGGATTTTCTAAGTTACGTACTCGATCGCACGTACGCATTACTTTCTCTGTTTCCCTCTACTTATGTAATGGCTATTATACCTTACCCTATTTTGATCGTACAATCAAATTTTTCCGGCTTGATGAGTGACTGTTGTTACTACTATTTTTTTATAAGTATGGGCTACGCTGCGCGCTCTGCTATTGAATCAATGGAAGTCCTATTGATCAATTCAATTTTAAACAAATACCTCACGTTTTAATTTTATGAGTTACTTTCTGTGAAGGCTTGAAATTAATTACGAACGGTTTTTAGGCCGCGAGTCAACCCATTTAATGACACAATTTTTCTACCAAAAAATTCATTTCTAAACCAATCTTTTGCTGGTATTTAAAACAATTTGGGAGAGAGAGGGAAAAGAGATGATTAATAAGTTATTTATCGGCTTGAGGTCGTGGCCCACATCTTTGCTTAAAAATAATGCCCAGCCGGCAAAACGGCTGAAACAAAAAAGTTTGGATCGTTCAGTGCGACCAATGTTGCTACGTATTTTTGCTTTGTTCTAAAGTGTAATACTGTGGCATATTTTTCCTGTTCTCATGACTTCATTTAACAAAATGACACAGTAGTGGAATGATAAAGTTCATTAATATTCTGATTGATAGGAAGTATCACTAATTATTTATTCAATTGCTTATTGCATTGGTATTTATTCTTAGACCCGCCCACAATACGAAATCTCACCACGTCATCTAAGAAGTCTTGGATTGGCCAGGCAGTGACTTTGAAGTGTCTTTCTGATGGTGTTCCTACACCAACACTCTCATGGTACAAACCTGAAGGAAGTGAAATAAACAGAGTCACAGCCAAAGAAAACGAAGTAAAAGTGCCACTCAGGGGTGATCAAGATTTTGGTCATTACAAGTGCATTGCTGCCAATGGACTTATTCCATCTGATGAGAAATTAATAAAGATAAATCAGATAAGTAAGTAAAAAAGATCAGTGTGTTGTGATAAGAAGAAAACTATACAGAAGGTCCGCATTCTCTTTTGCCTTTGCTCACTATCACTGTTTCAGTTATATTAGAAGTAAAAGCCAAATGTTCTTACAAAGTAATCGACATGGTAACTCATTCCGTTTGTACAACGCATTCGATAATTGAAATTATAATACGTGCGGATAATTTGCAAGGCCCATAGGTGTGTGGAAAAATAGAAGCTTATGTTAAACCATCAAATAAGAGATTTATTATTCTACTATTTTATCATTTTCTAACAATTTGGCTGCCTAGATTTCCACATACATCATTTGTGGCCTTATCTGAGCGTTCCATTCGTATTTTTCCCCTTTTTAGAAGCGTTAGACCTTCATATATTTTTCGCGTTCGTTCGTTTTTCGCAATGTGGCATGAAGGGTTAATAGTGGAATTATGCCAGATACAGTCAGCCTGATTTTTTTTAGTGGAAAATGCATCCATATTTTTAAAAAAGGATTTACAGTAAACTATCGACGCCTTGCCCTTTGGTAGCATTCAACACGTCACAAAAGAGCGTTGAACTTCGGGCAGATTGATGACATCCTCCCATGAAAGCAACCATAAGAAACTTCCTCAACCATGGACTCTTAATTTAATTTTTAATTAATGATCCCTTTTTTATGGTACTATGAAGAGAAACCAGGGAAAGCATCCATAAAATCACCAGAATCAGTAATTCAAGCAACTTTTATAACAATAAGATGGACTGCACCAGCTGATGATGGAGGAAGTCCGATTACAGGATACCGACTGATCTTACAAAAGGGTGAAACTGAGATAGAAAAGGATGAAATCACCGATCCTGGGACGACAAGTTATTCGTTTCGTGGTTTGGAGAAAAATACCAACTACACGGTGAAACTGTTTTCCAGAAATTTTGTATTCGAGGGAGATCCTACTGTATGGACGATTAAGACCAAGTTTGAAGGTGAGAAATCACAAGTGATTTCGTGACTGAGCACTTTGCACCAATCATTTTGTTGCAAACTTAGATTTGTCCCAGTTTTAACAATGCTATCTGCTCACCGCATTATAAGATTTTTTATTTAAAGTGTTTTTCTACTCCTTGGTGGCCAGTTTCCTTTCCCTTTCTAATAGTTATTTGAGAGGTTCCCACGTTTGAAGAAGCATAAATAAAGCATAAATAAACCACAGGTGAACATAGGTGAGAACAATGGAAAACCTACGCGGCTACATTCCGTAAATGCTACATGTTTTATCAAGTATTGTTTGCCTTCTATTTTTATTTAATTTTTTTTTTCATTTTTTGATGTTCACGTTTCATAACCTGTTTGTGTAAATAAACAACAACAACGGTCGCTAGATAGTTGGTTGGATATAGTTTTCCTAAACTCTTACCGGCTATATTCAGAACACCCAATAACCAACTATCCCTTTTGAGAGTGAGACGATTTTCACACATTGGTAAACCAAAGAACTGAATTTTGAGGTAATGGGCCTTTCATGAAAGTCTCTTTAATATGCCAAAGTGGACGGCCTCGAAGAGTCCTCCGTATATTTTCTTTATGATGAGAAAAGTACGAGCACAAAAAGCAGAGAATGAGTGAAAGAAGTCAAGCTATAAGCTGTAACCTGATAAAATAAGAAAAATTACGAGGCACGAAGAAAGTTTGAGATAGGTATTTAAAAAGCTAAACCTCTTGCTTAGAATTAAGGTGGATGGATATCGTTTTCTTAAATACCTACAAGCTATAATCAAAGCACTTAAAAAGAATCAAACCACCATGAGTCCCATAGTTATCAGGATTTGCTACTTAATTTATTGACATTTTGTGCACACTGCTGGACACTTTTTTCGTGAAACCTTCCATTGTTTAACACATATAGTACTTCTTGTGTTAACGCTAGGTTTGTGTGTAACGATTTTCTTTCAAAATTATGTTACAGACTTAAAAATCAGTAGTTCTAGAGCCAATGCCAGTTGGTGAAAACGTTAGTAAAATTATACTCCCCAGTATAAATTATATTATCTATCGAGGGAAAATGGTGGCACTTGTTTCAATTTCGCAGGGATAAACCCAAACCAAAACGATTAAGGTTGCCGTTATCATTTTTTGTCTTTTCAAGTTACGTTGAATTTATCTCAATATTTAACTTAATTTTGCTTGCTATACACTTTTTTTAAAAAAATATCCCAGAAAAATCCTCTACCAGTTTACAGATTATTTTATCACCGATAATGTTTGTGATCAGGTTTGTAACAAGGAGTTGTATAATTATAAGAAATTTCACACTGTTCGTGTCGTTGACATCAATCTAGGAGCCCCAGATGTGGTCGAAATGGACGAACTGCCACGTGAAACAACAGACGATACAATTACCTTAAAGTGGGAGGAGCCTGAAAATAATGGAAAAGTTATCACCATGTATGCAGTGTACCAAAGAGTAGTGACTGATGGAAAAGTGGGACAGTGGACAAAAATAAAGAAAATCATAGATGTTTCTGTGAGAGAATTGAAAATAACGTTGGAGAGAGGAAAGGTGTATCAGTTTGCCATTACTGCTGTTAATGAGCTTGGTGAAAGCCTAAAACAAGAGAAAGCAAACATCCAGCAAGTCAAGGCAGAAGGAAGTATGTTCAAATGAATCTTATTTTCCCCTTTCAATAGTTTATCCTTTTCTTTACTTAGTTTTCAAGCACTCTCTGTGTCATCGACATCGAGGTATTTACGGGTGAATTCTTCGCTTGCAAAAACCTAATCAATGTGAAAAAATTTCACTTACGTCACAGTTGATATTTGCGCACCAACTAGAGGCCTATTGGTTGATACTACATACTAGTTACTACATTTCAGTTAACAAGTTAATTAAATATAATGATTGAACGGGAGAAATTACATTCACAGCCGATGGCTGTGTGAATAATATCAAATTCAGAAATTACATTCCTATACAGGACTTATTTATAATGACAGGGAAGCGACCTTTGACATACAAACGCATTGCAAAGATACAGAGTCATCCACCAGGCGTAAATAGGGGGGCTGGACTCTGGGGTCGCTACGTTGATCACTTTATCAGCGCTACTTTTTCCAGCAGAGAGCAACTCAATTATTTCTTAACCACTGTCAGTTACTTTCATTCAGCTCTTAAATAGTTTTTATCCCCACAGACGGCTCGGAAAGCGCAGCAAAAGGTAGGATTAACAAAGAAATTGTTAAATACATTAAAGTTCTCTAAACAACCAGGTGCATATTCAGACATGGTTTAGTGCTACTCTGGTTTAAAGATTTAATAAATGAAGTTACAACTAGCAATACTCCTCATGAGAAGGAACCAGCGTCTGGTTTTGCTGTTATTCCTTACATTTAGGGTGTTACGGAATCCATCAAGAGAATTTTGAATAGCCACAACGTTTATGTTGTTCATGTTCAGACCCTAGGGCATGGTTTCGCCAAACCTAAGGATCCTATCACAAAGGAACAACTAACCGACGTTTTTATTCTATTCCGTGCAATGGCTGTGATCACGAGTATATCGGGCAGACCAAACTTTAGTTTGGTAGACGTTTGAAAGAGCATCAAAGAGCTTTCAAAATTCAGCTTTGTCGGAGCACACATGCCTAACTAACCACACAATTGTGTGGGATAATTCTAAAACTATCTTCACTTATTGATGTTACCACCAGCGCCTTTGTTTGGAAGCCTGGCATATCAACTCTGCCCACGCTCCTTTAAGTCGTGATGGTGGCGGCTTACTGCCTGACGCATATTTACACCTCGTCAGGAAATTATTTTGCGTGTAAAAGGACCTCTCTGTGCAACAATTAGATCACCCCTGATGAAGGCACTAGACAGGAGTGTTGAAACGTTGGGTCTATGAATTGTAACTTTTCGGTTACTTTCAGTCCATTTTTCAGTTGCGTGCTTAGCTGCCAGGCCTTTGAACAGGAGTGAGGCTGAAGGTGACCTTGTTATGATACAAGCCTTGCTGCTTTTCAAATGTAAATGACTTTGTTCTCATGCAAACTAGATACTGGTCTCCATTATTACATGGTCAACTTCAGCCAAATCAAAGGCTTGGCAACTAAGCACACAACTGTAAAATGGCCAATTCATTAAATCTTTAAAACAGAGTAGCATCAAACCATGTCAAATTGTTAAATGTTTACACGTATTCTTCCGAAAACGGACTTTTTCCAATTGTATTCCGTATCTGTGTAATTAAACAACTTATTTCTGTGAGTGATAGATTTCCACGTTTTTGTTTTTGTCGTTGTTGTTGTTTTTAGTCAACTAAGCAAAATATTACTTTTAGAAATTATTATAGAAAGATTAGCACCTTACTTTTCTTTAGTATCTAGCCACTGATGGTTAAATTTTTGGTCACGAGTCGTAGCTATGTAATGAGGGCAGTTTATCGACCAGGATCAGTGTAAATGTTGTTTGAATGTTACTTGATAAAGCTTTGTAAAATGAATCATTTTAGGTCCTGAGGAATGTAACTGCCCATCTAACAACGTCTTGTTGGCCATAATTGGGGTTCTTGCCTTCACAATCCTTCTTCTAATTATTTACATAATCTGGCTACATAAGAAAGGTAGGTAAAAAAATAATAATCTATGTTAGAGGGTTTGGCTGGAAGTTTCATTTTTATACAAAAGCAAATTTTGACCTACATCCACATCATTTGTCTTTTTCCCTTTCGTTCTTTTTCAGGCGCTGTAGGGAAACAGAGGTAAGAATTTGCTTCCACTTGGATTGTGTCGATGTAATGTGCCAGATATGGTTTCATCTTAACTCAAAATTCCTCTACTCCTCTTAAAGCTAATGAAATTCTCAGCTTTTTATATTTATTCGTATGCTTTCTCAATTGTAGGACTTATGAAGATGAAAGAGGTGTTTACGACGTAAGTAACAGCTAAGACATTGAGGTCATGTTAATGTGGCCAGAGACTATGTTATCTCACATTACCTCTACTTTCTATAAGAAAATAAACGCTTGCAGCAAATGAGAAGGAAAGAAGGTGTAGTTCTACAAAAAAAGCATATTGCAGTAGTGGAAGATACAATGAAATAGGGGAGGAAGTAGGACTCGATAAGGTCTCTGTCCTAGGATCATGTCCTTTACCAAGGTACTCCATGGATTTTTCTTCGATTGTCCCTGGTTCAACTGCGTGGCTTCACTTCATAGATCGCTAACTGGTCTACACCCAGTTGATATTTACTTTCTTAATAATTGTTTTTTCGCATTTTTGGCTGTCTTATTTTCTTGACGCCATATATTCAAGACGTAAGTCTAGCAGCTGAGTACAGCAAAAGTTTTTTGTGCGTGTATTTGATGCCTTATTTTCTAAACGTGAGTTTAGGAGCTTGGTACTGCAAGAGTTGTTTCGTGCGTTTATTTGTCAAAATATTGGACTACCAATCAACAATCTTCATGTTGCAGTTTGTAGCTTCAGCAAATATGTTATGAACCTCGATCACTCCATTGGACATGATAGTTTCAAAAGCAGAGAACAGAATGTTAGTAATAATAAGGAAAAGAGATTATAAACCTTTTGTAACATTTTGTTATGCAAGAATGTAAAGGTTTGTGTGATGAAAATGAGTAAACTGATTTTTATAACCATGTGAAACTTTTTTCTGGGATTAATAACAGATTTTTGTATGAATACCTTAACGGTATGTTGGTTTAATAGAATGAAACAGGATTAGCATATATCGATCCAAGTCTACCTGATTCAAGAAAACTCAATCAGGCTCCTGCGGAATACATGGATCTCATAGAAGTCAACAAAGATAATAGAAAAGCACAAAGAACAGCTCCAGGTGCTGATTACGTGCCTCTTCATCCGTTAACACGCTGCTGGGAGGTTCCAAGACATCACGTTACCATAGAAAAAATCATTGGTAAAGGTGCTTTTGGTCAGGTTGCCAAGGGAACAGCAGGAGGACTTCGAGGGGGTCCTGAAACGACCACAGTGGCTATTAAAATGCTGAAAAGTGAGCTTTTGCACCGTAAATTGAATGACAGTCTTGGCCTACAGTAATTCAGGAAATGTTACCGGGTTACAGTATAATTTTAGCTATTTGCTATTTCATATGTATGTAATTATTTCGGCATTTCGCATAATCTTCCCTTTAACCAAATTTTACTCCTTGTTTTTAACGCTCCAGCAAACGCAACCGAATCGGACAAGAGAGATTTGATGAAAGAACTTGACACAATGAAGCAGCTGAAACCACATCCTTATGTCATTAAACTTCTGGGATGTGTTACAGAATCTGGTATGTTTTGCTCATGCGGGTCTAATTTTGTTGTACACATTTTGCTTATGATTAACTCTTTAACGCTTTCTTGTCATTGATAATAATGAAGCACAACAAACAACCATTACATATAGTAATTTTATCTTTTTTTAGCCAACATGGACACTCCTGGATTTACTGATAGACTAATACCAAATATTTGCCACAGAGCAGACCGTTCTGTTGTACAAGCAGAAACGCGTTTTGTGAGGGAATATTTGGTCTGTACCTTCTTATGAGACCGCTACATATTATTTCATCTTCTCTTCGTAAAACTACATCTTGTTTCCGTGCGATTTCTTCAAAAGTATTGATCATGACTGGGCTGTTCATTTATTTTATTTATTACTAATTTTTGTAGAGTAATGTATAAATTAAATTGCTTAATTTCTTCAGAACAGCTGTTGGTTTTGATTGAATATGTGCCTTTTGGGGATCTGCTGGGTTATCTGAGAAAGAGCCGTGGATTAAAAGACACTTACTACAAAGACCCGGATATCAAACCACAAACAAATCTGACGTCACAGCAGCTGATGAAGTTTGCTTGGCAAATTGCTGATGGAATGAGTTACTTATCCTCAAAATCTGTAGGTTAATTAAAAAAAAACACAAAAGGCAAACAATTCTAAAGCCTTCTTATAGGGTGTATCGTCATGTTAAGCTTTGTCTTGAAAAGAATGTTATGTCTTCATTTGATCACGCCCGGGAGATGCAAACGTATTCTTACCGTGTTGTTGACGCTATTTTTTTTAGGGCGGAAACGCTCACAATCTTGACGTCATCATCTAAGTTTTATTTTAATGTGCGAATGGCGATATTTGTGCATCGTTGCAAGTACACCCCGTTGAAATAAAATATCTGGGTTTTTCTCGTGTACGCAAAGGCAGAGACGTGAATGAATAGGATCTTTTAAGATATTCAGCCTAAACTAAGTATACAACAAATATCCATTTTAGTGAAAAAAAAGAAAAACTTGAAATTTAAAAAATCGTCTTTGGTCGCTAAACTGCTACACTATAGAATCCTATTTAGATTAAAAAACTTAAGATAAGCGGTATATGAAATAACTACGTATTGCACGAGTAAAGTAGTTTGCTTCTCTTTAATATGAAGCAGTAATTATAGTCAATTTAATTTTCTGCCATCTGGAAGAAAAAGAAATACGCACACCATATTATGTTGCCGGAATTTTCTATTTTTCTTCGTGAACCATTTCATTTCAGTTCTTTTTCTTCTGCAATCGCTAATTTTTGCCGTTGCACCAATTCTTTCTTAGATCATTCACCGAGACCTTGCGGCCCGTAATGTGTTGGTTGGACAAAAGGAAACGTGTAAAGTGACAGACTTCGGAATGGCCAGAGATGTGCAGCAGGAAAATATTTATGAACGAAAGACTAAGGTACTCAAGAAAAAAGGGAGGTGGGGGCGGTATTACGTATCGTTCAGTTTAGTGATCTTTCACAATCATTGTTGTTGTAATGCTGATATATTCCTGATTTCGATCATGAATTCCTTGGGACTCTAATGAAAACATTATCCATGCGTATACGAGTACAACTTTAAATATCACTGTTTTTGACTAGTCGCTACCTATAATTCTCGAGCTGTTTCACAAAGTGATATTTAAAATCTTTAGGGCCGTCTTCCCGTGAAGTGGACAGCTTTTGAGGCCTTATTGTATGGTAAATATACCACCAAAAGTGACGTGTAAGTATACCTATTATCAACCGTAGTAATTTATCAACAAGTTTTATTAATTTTAGTCTGGACTTGAATTCTATGCTTTGTCAAAGAATACGTATATTTTATTAGTCGTAATACTGTTTATGTCAATAGTCACTTAATTTATGTTCGTTTGATTTGTCTTTCTGCAGATGGAGTTATGGAGTTTTGTTGTACGAGATTTTCACCATAGGTAACATCGAATGGAAGTTTATGAGGCTCTTAATTAAATAATGTATCGTGTTCAGTTAGACAAACGTAATAAGCTTCCTCATGCAACCTCAAACTCCATCAATTGACACAGGTATGTTTTAGTGAAGGTCTTTTTTTCGTCACGTTTATATTTCGATGATCTTGTGGTTCTTCCAGGTGGTTCACCTTACCCACGAATGGATGGAAGAAAAATTGCAAACTTACTCCAGGGTGGATACAGGATGCCTAAACCACAACACGTCGATGAAAAATTGTAAGTTTTCTTTGTTACCTCATTCTCTCTCGTTGTACAAGGAAATGCTCTTCAAATCTCAAACAGATCACTTGAACAATGCCAGGTATCAAATCATGATGAAATGCTGGAAGAATGACCCAGATGCAAGACCAACTTTTACTGAATTGAAAAATCAGCTTAAGGACATGGAAACCCTACACAAGGTGAGAATTTTGATCAATATGAAAGTTTCTTTTCACGAGGACCGACTGGCTTAGGCTCAGCTAATTAGGGTTAAACTTAATAGCATTGAGCCTAAATAGCGTAGTATTATGTACTCATCTTTGTAATTTTTACGAAGTTTGGATTGCATCTTTTTGTTATGTCACTGAAGCTAGCACTCAACGAAAAACAGCAAAGAAGTGAACTAGAATGTCTCAATGACAATTTACACTTTATGGCTATTTAAAAGATCATAGGATGATCGTAAAACTGCATTGAGACGCACAAAGAGTAGCAGATGACGACGCCATAAAATACTTCCTCCTTGAATTTGTTTTGGTGTGAAAACCTGACCACTTGTGAGGATAACCACTTAAAACTTTTTTGATGTTGCTGATTATTATATTATTTTTCTCTGCAGAAGCTAATTGACATGAAAATGTACGACAAGCAATTGTATGTAAACGTCGAGGATTTAACGGTGTAGTTACATACACGTCCACGGTGTAAGAATGGCTAACATTTTGAACACTTCGCCCAGACAAGTTTCAGGGATTAATAATATTTTCCTTACACGCTTACTTGGTAGAAATAGCCATGTTGTGTTAATCAGTTAGGCTGGAACGTTGTAATACAATTGACTTTATATTCTTAAACGCTTAAGCGAATTTATAAGTTTACCAATAAAATATACTCTCATTTTCTCTCTAACATATTAAGTACTTACATGTATGCCTCGACACAAGCGTTTGAGTTCAGTTTATTTTGTGGCTCATTCTAAAAGGCAGAACAGCGCGAAAAAGAAATCCAATAATGAGATGATGATGAGATCTCGCTCTGAATGCCATAGTTGTGTACAATTTTAATAAATTGCTAAAAAATATTTTTGCCGCAAAACCCGCTTGTTTGCAGGAAGGCTTATCGTGCGCATAAATTCTTTTACCCAAGACCGCCTTTACTCGCGATACCAACTCGAAATACTTTTACACTGAAAGTATTAATAAAATTTACGGTATTTTAATCAAAATTATACGTGGCACATTACATCTGCAGGAAAGTTTGTTGTTTGGTCCAATCGCCTGATAGTTTTCGCGTACTAGATACTATTACTCAACGAAACTGGTCTTAAGTAGGTGTTCAAGTCTTTTTTCTTAGATACGTTGCTGATATAATAGCTTTAATTTTTTTTAAATATATATTTATATAATAAAAGTGTCAAAAAGTTCAAAGTTGACTCTGTCTGCATGATGATGCCTTATAAAAGTTTACATCTTTCACTCCACGACATTAATCTAATATATCTTGACCCATCTCTGTAGATCTCTCCTTTGAAGGAAGGACAAAACCAAACCAAAGTAAACGAGCTTCCCGAAGTGCAAAAAATCGCTTGTGCGTGGTTCAGGAGACTTACATCCAGGAGACCATGTTCTCCTGTCACTCTCAGTTGAGGCTAAGAGTCGATAAATTTTACATAATTATAAACTAGGTTACTTTTTGCTCAGAACCCTTCTTTCTTCAGCTGCACTAAATAATTGCACTAGAAACAGTACTTAATATGAAAACAACGCTCTTTTAGTCTGGAGCAGAGGATACCTGAGGAATAGTCTTAACATTCAAATTTACATTTCACGTAACAAAAAAGTCTCTTCCCATTCATTCTGATATGCTGCTTTTAACACACGGCTGAAGTTAAAAATAATATTTGAATACGTCTTTCTTAATCAAATATAAAGAGAAGTATGAAGGTTACGGTGGCGGAAAATGAAGAAAAAACAAAGCAAAAAACAAAAAAACAAGAACAATGATTTTCTCTATTCACTTTGCCTCCACTTCTTACTTTGTGAGTCAACAATATTGAACACAAAAACTTTTGTGAACTGCTAATATAAATATTTTCAGCTTTAAAAGTGAATAGCACCTGAAAGTCTTCTAAGTTTTAGTTTTATTCTTTAACACCGCTGGTCACGCACACTTCGAAGAGTCCACAAACTTCTTGAACACTGCTATCTATCTATATATAAAAAGCGGAGGAGGTTTGGGTCGGGTCGCGTATTGCTTCGCTGTAACTATCACCAGCTCATTTATTTCGTTCAATGTTACCAATTGAACGCCAAGAACAGGCTGATGACTCCAAGTCTCTGCAGTTTTTTAATTTAGTGGTGTTGCTTAAAAAATGGACGTAAGCCGTAATCGAAGAACCATCGTCTTTCGTACAATTACTGAATATTATGTACAGTATATTTAACAACTGTTCTATGACCGCGCACTTGATATGGGTTGGGATACCAGTCTCGTATCCAACAAGAGCTAATGGAATTGTTGAGTTATTAAATTTTTCACTTTTTGATAATACTTACGGAGCTTACTAAGTTCGTTTTAACTCTCAATTTTTCTTCAAATTAAAGCCACGAGAAGTCAATGTCACATCCGGTCGTCAAAACGGCAAAACTTGAATCACATAAGCAACGTTTAAGTTACGTTCGAAGCTGAATTAAAATTCAACGCTCGCAATTTACACAGCCGGACACGATGAAAAGCAATCTCCGATCCAAGACACGTTAAAGGGTACGACATACAATACTTACGAGAAAAGCGTAAAATATAATTTTGTGCACAGTTTTTTAAGTGTTTTGTTTCACTTGAACGGAGCAAATCTTGTGATCGAGGATAGCTTTCGTTTCGATATCCTGAGCTTAATTTCTCGCTCCGAGTGTACGAGTGAACAGTTACAACCCTACTGAGACAAACATTCGATTAAATCAATAAAACGTCATGCTTATCCTAAAGTCTTGTGCGAAAGGAGCTAGCGCGAACTCCTTAAGTAAAACTTAAAAGATAAATACCATTCAACAACGTTATATTGTACTTTTTGACTTTTACCTTTTGTTACCGATATAACGTTGAATAGCATTTGCTTTAGTTAATTTCTAATGTACAGAAAGAAGTGATTGCTTCCATCCAAATGTAGATTCAGCTGAGCGACAATTGGATAAATCATTCTCCATAGAAGGTTGTATATGAGATGATGACCGGAGTTGAGGGAACCAAACAGAAGACTAGAAATGCTATATTATGATTTTGAAATTTAATAAAAATAGCTAGTTAGTGAGCGCGTACCATTTTATCCAGTTGGGAATCGAAACTACCACCTTCCGTTCAGTACTTCGAATACTCCAACGCTGAGGTACAGAAGACTTGTGGCAAGGTAGCTCGCTTAACTATGTGCATGGAGATAAACTTTATGATTACACGTCAAAATTTCAATTGAAGGCAACGGTCTCTGCACAAGTGTTTGTTTACTTCTAACATTCAGATTCACTTTTTCTTTGCATCCATTACAGGTCAAGTATTCCATTTCTTTTCGCAGTTTCTCAGACTTTGTCGTTTATTTAGTGACGACTCTGATTTTTCCCTCAAATCAGAGGCAACGTGCCGGTTTTTTTTTTATTTCTAGAGAAGTCAAAGAGGTGTCGGAAATTTCCCTGAACTATTTTAGAGATGGATGAAAGGAACTGACAGCAGTTGAAAATAACTAAGTTCCTCTCAGGTGGAAAAAGTAGCGCTGATACAGTGATCAATGAAGCGACCTCAGAGTCCAGCCCCCTATTTACGCCTGGTGGATTACTATGTCTCTTTGTAATCAGTTTGCATGTTTGTCTGCCCAAAGAGGTCGGCTACCCTATACAGTAGGTTTACAAAACTTGTTTTGCTCTGCCAAAACTCTCAACAAATTTGGTCTGCACCAAATTTTAAAATTTTATTATCATGTGTGGACTTGCAAACAAGTAAATATTTGATAAGCACAAATTTACTTGATTGACAGGAAGAAGGCGCCTCTGAAGTTTTGTACGGTTTAAAATTTTGGTAGAAAAAAAAAGTGCGCACTTAATTATAAACAAAAATCACCGTATGCGTTCCAGCTTTTAAGGAGTTTTGACCAATGACATATGACACTTTCTCCACCAATAGGAAAGCGTTTTGGAGTTGGGAAGTACCGTGTGTAAATTAACTAAACAACCCCGAATCTTTTGTTTTATTTCTTATAAATATCTATAATATCAACAAATACACTTACGCGTTACTACTCGCTTGTTGACAATTTCTTTTAAAGTATTTCCTCATTACATCAACAGGCCTTATTTTTATTGGCGGAAAACGTAGATGAAAGCGAAACGTTATTCATTTCATCACAGAATTTGCTCGGAGCAAGGCCACCTTCAGTTGTTTATTTGAAAAAGAACTCAATTAAACAAGAGAAAAAGTTCACTTCACCCTAAGCACTTGAAGAAATATTTGTTTATTTGTACAGAGATAGAGTGAATATTACATTAGCTGAACATGCTGGTGAGCAATTCGTTGCAAGTGATCATGGAGGCTGTTAAATGACTGTCCTCTTTGACTGCTGTGAATCCGACGAAAAGGTTGGGATTGTTGCGCTGAATTTTTTCCTGCTTTGAAGCCGGTAAAAAAACACTGCCACATTTTCTCAGCTGGCAAGATGAAGGGTAAGAATTGAAGTGTACTGAAGCCTCCTAGGGTTTCTGCGCCCAAAATAAGTCAAATGTGGCAACCCTTCAAACCAGCTTCAGATAGCAAAGTATAATGGTTGTGGCCCTATCAATGTGGTTTGTGTAGACCTTGGAGAGCACTACCTTTGTACAATAATCATATTCTCCAGCGTATTGATGCCAAGAGGACAGTTTTCTCACCAGGAGCCCCTTTATCGAAAGTCCAAGTAGTTTAATGGGCCCCTGAAGCTGTTGTGTTTTCATTATAGATGCAGGTTTCAAAGGTTTTGAGAATTTCAGCTGAAGAAATAAGATAGGCTGATTAGGGTGCCAGAACCTGATCCTCTGTTCTTTAAATTTGTATTTTAAAATACGACTTTGTATCCGTTAAGTGATAAGGACTTTCAAGAAACAGGCCCCACAAGTTGTTAACGGTACTTAATTTATTCCAGTCTTGCTTGGAACATAAAAAATAAAGCATCACTCTTTGGAATATCTTTGAAACGTACAGCCTTAAAGCTCCGTGGCCATCTGTATCATACTGTATCTCTAGCATTCAGACTGCTTTCTTGTAGCTGAACTTGCCTTATAGTCTTCCCAGGTGGTTTTTCATTATCTTGTTGTGTGTCTTTGTTACATACCTCTGCCCAGGTGGTTTTTCATTATCTTGTTGCGTGTCATTGTTACATAGCGCTTGCGTTGTTCATCCTAAGAAAGACAAAACTGTAAGCTTCCAAGCTTCCCTCCACGGCCTTTTGCACAACCATGCAACAATGAATGGAACCACACCTTTCTGACTTGAGACTACGGATTGCTTAAAGTTAACTCTGAGTCGGCCCTCAACTTCTTGAAAAACCTCCACCGGAATGGCGCCTTTATAATGAACATTTTATTTCCCTTGCTGGGACTATTATTTTCAGTTGGCATTCAACATGTGGTTTGAGCTTGTAAAGACGGCTTAGTTGACCTTAAAACTTTTCTTGAACTATAGGTTTTTGAAGCATCTGGTGGAAGCAGAAGTGGTTAGGGCCGCTGGGTTTGTATAAATGGGTAGTCCCAGGTTCAAGCCCTTCACTCTGCTGCTCACTGGATTTGTTCTCGGTTTCCCCGTGTTCAACTCCTTAGCTGCACTTTGTATGTTGCCGAATGTTGACTGTTTAACACTGCTTGGTTAATAAATCACTCTAGCTGTTACACTCTGTTACACAAGCGAACTGCAAAGGATCCGAGAAAGAAGAAGAGGTAAGTCGTGTCTTATCTGGCTTTTTTCTCTCGCTAAGGCCCGGAAAAATTTAAACCCTTTTTTTACCAATCGTCATTTGATACTATCTTCAGTTTATAATTCAAATCACGTTTCGGTAAAACAATGACTTTGGCATTCATCGCTTTAAATAACGTCATAAAGCTTATTCAGTCATATCTATCAGGCCACTTTCAACGAGTAGAATGTAACGGGAAGGTGTCAGAAAAATCGATACTATCTTCAGTTTATAATTCAAATCATGTTTCGGTAAAACAATGACTTTTGCATTCATTGCTTTAAATAAAGCTTATTCAGTCATATCTATCAGGCCACTTTCAACGAGTAAAATGTAAAGGGAAGGTGTCAGACTGGCTGCCTCTTCGCTGGGAGCCTTCTACGTCCGCTTTTTTTAATATCTTTGTAAATGATATCAATGACTCAACACAACGATGATGACACAACGCAATATATAGCCCATGAGAGCCCCCGCTCACTTGAATCGACACTGAATCACGACGTAGAGAGATTAACCCTCTGGTTCACTGCGAATTACCTGCAAATAAACGCTACTAAATCTCAGACGATGAGACTGGGGAAATCTCAGTACCCATACAATATTTTTATTGGTGACAAGTCCATCGAAATTACACCAACTCTCAAGATTCTTGGTGTTACATTGGATCGGGATTTGTCTTTCAAGCCCCACGTTGCAATCATGCTGAAAAAAGCGTGTGCTAAGATACCCACACTACGGATGATTAGGAGCTTAGTTACTTCAGAGGTTATGATTTCTCTTTATAAAGCCTACGTGCTACCGCATTTAGAATACTGTTGCCCACCACTTCTAGGCATATCTAAAGTCTTGAAAAATAACATCGAACGTACAAATCATTATGCCAGCAAGACATTACTGAATCTAGATAATTCGGCTACCTATCACTTTTGCCTGGCAATGGCTGCTATAGACACGCTTGAGCAAATTTAATTGTTATGGTAAAACAATATCAAACCATTCATTTAAATTAAGACAGCCATTAATTAGAGTAAATTGTTTTTTGCACTCAATCTTTGTTAGAGTCACTAAACAGTGGAACGCGCTCTTCCTAAAAAGATAGCGCACGAACAGGATTTCAGCATTTTTCAAAGTAAACTTAGAAATTGTTGTAAAATTTTGTAATTTTTTTGAGCCATTTCTCAGTTATTCTTAAATTTTACATTGTAGTATATTTATTTTATCGTCCTCGATAGAGATAACCTCTGACTTTTCCTTTTCCTTTTATGTATCTTTAAGTGATAAATATTTGATTATTATTATTGCCTAGAAATAGTTATAAACATCTCGAGGCGTACTTAATACTCGGGTTATGATAAACATGCTTGAGATACGATAACTTTTTCCTAATGCTGGAAACTGAAGCATCAGTCTCTAAAATTGACAGTCATCGCATTTCGCCAGAGGCGTCCGAGCTCGGTGATCGTGTAGTTAAACGGGTTCCTAGCAATTTGAGCTCACAAGCACGCTGGTAAGCACAATTGGCTAGCGTCAATAATTGTTGTTTACATTTTTCGAACTCAAGAGCAGTTTTTGAGAGTCCGTTTCTGTAATATTCTTGGATATATTCTATTGAATTTATTGACTAACAATCTCGGAATATCATAAGTGATTATGAACGATAAATTCGTATCGGACCATTATTTCGGGAAGGTTTGTTAACACATTATCAGTTTACAATTCGTAAACTATTTCTGTTACCTGCCTGGATATTTTCTTTTTAGTTAATTGAGTCACACCCTCGGAATTTCATCAGTACTTAAGAACGACAAATCCGTATATGTAGCACAATTGAAACACATTTTAAACTTTCCATACGATTTTAGGAAACTATACTTTATTGACTCTCGAGAAATTAGCCTGGCATAACTTTTTGATTATTTTATTAACCCAGAAGCCCGGCCTATGGAGATTGATAGGCATCCTTCAAGGAGGAAGGCTAGAATAAAGTTGCTTTCGCGACCGTATATTGCACCCGGTTTAAATTACACAGTTAATGTATGGTCCTTAAGGAAATAGTGCTAGGGGGCAACAACTGCGCAACCGTATTCCGGTCGGATACATTTGAATTTGATCAGGGCACGTAACCAAGAATCAATCAATCACAGTGCTCCTTTTGTTGAGTGAAAGTCTAGGTATATAAAAAATGTAGATAATCACTTTAAAAAAATACCTTTCGCAGCTGTATTCAGAAACATAGACATTTAAGCAATATGCTTCTGCTTTATTTTATTGTAACGGGTTTCTTTTTATGTAACATGTATGCATTCCTTTAATTACCTCCTTAACCTGCCTGCAAATAATTAAATTTTGTTTTAATTAAAGGATGAAAAGATAAAACAGAAGTTTTGCAGAGTTCTCCTTCCAGATTGAATTCAGGTGAGAACATCAGTAAACTAGTTAATGTCATATGCTTCTCCTGAATCTTTAATTTTATTTCCCTGGTTTGTAACGATTGAAATCTCAGTGAATAGATATGCCAGTTTTTAATAGTTTTTAAAATTCCATCTTTAAGTTTTTTGCATTTACTATTTTAAAATTCAAAAAGGGCATTCCTTTTTCATCCTTGTAAAGAGGTATTACAAAATCTGAATCGTGAAGTCAACTTAATTTCAATGAGTTGGAGACTTCAAGGAAAAACTAAACAGATTTTCGTTCCAACTTCGATCATTGAAGATCGCTCAGCTCAATTCTGACAACCAAAATGAATAGGCCAGAAATATTAATGCCATGTCTCAGAAGTTTAAAGTTTATTAATTCATAAATAAATAGCAGTTCGAAAACTGGATTGCTTATTTACTAAACAAAAATTATACAAATACAATCACAACTAAACTATCTTCAATAAGAGGATGAAAAAAGGCTAACAGGAGATAAGCAGCGAAAAAAGTTATCAGAATACAAGCTGCAAAATTTAAAAAACCCTAAACTATAAATGAGTTGCTTTGAAACATGAAGAGATAATAAAACTATTCTTTAAATGGTCGGTTTTAAAACATACAGATGAGTATTTCATAATCCTCATTTAATATATCATTCAATGCTATCTTACTCTGTTTGTTATTGTTTTTGTAATAATTCGGAATCTTTATATATACAGTTTAGTGATTTTATTTTCTTTATTCCATCTATAACACTTTTTATCAGGTTAATGTAACATAATGGATGTTACTGAACTGCAAGCAAATGCTAACAAATGTCAAAAGGCTGCCAGTATACGTAGAAGTGTCTAAAGTTATAGAACGATGTGCTGATGAAGTACAAGGGATCCAAACAAGGAGAGAGGAAGCATAAAAACTAATAATTGAAGCACATAAAGAGGTGAAGAAGACTATATATGAAAACAGCACCAGATTATAAGACAATTACAGGATAACCAGAACGTTATGACTGATATACTTACCCTACTACAGGTATTACCCCCACCTAACCCTATAGAAGAAGCAGCATCAACACCTGAAATAATTACATTTGATGTAGAAAAGAATTTTACAAATGATGATAAACAAACAATAGAGAAACATAACTTGGTTCCATTAGAGGACTTGTTGAGTATGTCTGTCCAGGAATTGGAAGGAGAAAGTAAAAAACTGGTAAAATAAATAAAAAAATTGGTTCAAATAAACTACATGCTAAAACGAAAAAATAAAAATTATTATTTGACAAGGTAGATGGTATTTCTGATGATTGAGTCTGCGAATAAGGCAGAAATAAATATTTTTTCAGCACGAGATGTGACAAGGCCTAGGCCTTTGGCGTGAGCATTATGGGTAATGATGTAGGGGTGTATGAGGGTGAGTATAGCACGTGATGTCCATCTAAGCTTAGGAACCAACCTTGCACCTTTGGCTAATACCAAATTAAGAGGTCTTTTTCCGGTCGTTTCTTCTTGCTGCCACAATGCGACTGATAGTATTGCCGATTGAGGAAGAAGATATGGAAGCTCTAATCAAGGCTAACAATGACAATCTTCTCGATTCTTTCAAAGGCTTCTTGGAGCAGACTGTTTCACAGATCAAACAGTCAAATGAAGAATCGGTGGAAAGCCAGACGAAAGAGATCAAGCACCACACTTTCAACGAGTCTCATAAATTTAAGAAAAAGGCGAACTAGGACCAGTTCAATTTTAACCGGAAGCTTAGCGAGACGCTTGAGAGCGCCAAATCCGCCGCCAAAAATTCACAGTTCGAGAAGATCAAAACCAGCATAGAAGAAGGTGAGACATTAATTCCTGAGTGACAGAAACACATTCTACTAGCTGACAAGTCAGATTACGGATTGGCGACAGTTAATGAATATGAAAAGCACAGTTAGGCAGATGACTCGGATGACGAGAAGGAGATTTTCAAGACTGAATTGCGCGCTCGTACTTCTGTCAACGCATTAAAGAAGAAAAATCTTCGGCGCCGGAAGAGTCTACTGAGCTACGCCAACTGCGACCTATTCCCGCACTTGTGACTGGTTATTTGCCTCGACTCAAACCTGGGACATGTTTTGCATGTGGTAAATCTGGCCACTGGCGCGCATCCTGTCCAACAATGGCCCAGCAGAATCCATCAACAAATTGACTAGAGGACCGCCACAACTCAGGTGTAGTTCTTTCCTCTGGTAGTATTGAAGTTATTACTTTGCCTGTGCAAGCGGAAGACAGTGCTATTAACTCGGATCCTAGCATTGCCACTTGTGCTGATTTTTTCATGTTAGATTCCTTCAAACTCTTGAGCAGTTGATTTGACTTATTCATCTATACATGGAAGACTTAGAAAATTTGTAGATTTTTGGCATACTTTGGAAGTTTTGCAATTCATCTCGAATGTTATTATGTAGGGTTACAAAATTCCCTTCTTTGAACTTTCAATGCCTTTTTTGAGAGAAAAAAATACATCTGCTTGTAAGCCCGATATCATTAACCCGCATTCAGTTTCTAACCTTCGTTCGGGAAAGCAAAGGCTTATTTTGGATCTTCGACATGTCAAAAAGTTTATACACAAGCAGAAGTTTAAATTCGAAGATTTTGGGTATCGCAATTATTATTCAGGATTTTGGCAATGGGGTTTCAAAATATTTTCAGTTCTTTGTGCTCTCTTTCAGGCTCTCTTCAGCTCCATATATTTTACATCAATTTTGAAGCCATTACAGAAATCGTGGAGGAGCCAGGGCATCCCTTTGGCTATTTCCTTGATGACAGCTTAGGAGGGGGAACACAATGTTTCTCAAAATTAACAGTTTAGTTGTCCATTCAGATATGTTCATGTCTGGATTGTTTTCCAAATGAGAAAAAGTCCCTTTAGGAGCCTGTCCAAGTTATCACCTGGTTGGTTGTGACTCTCAACACTATGGACGGGACTATAAAAACAGCTGACTAACGCATTGAAAAGTTAAACGCTGGCCTTATTGAGCTACTGTCTCGTCAACCTCCCCGGAAAGTGCATGTGAAAAGAGTCGCTAGTGTAACGGGTCAAACTAATTTCTCTCTCTCCCTGTGTGGGTTCCATTGCCGTGCCTGTTGATTAGGGTGGTAAAGCACACGAGAGAATACGGTGAGAAGAGGGAGTCTTTTTGATTCTGGACTGTGTTTTGGAGAGACGGTGTGCACTAAAACAGTTTGGTAATTGACTGGGTGTTTTTACCCAAGTTGCCAGGTTTCTTTATCAGAGGGAAAGAGTGAAACTCGCTCTTCGCTTCCAGACCCTTAGTCTTTGATGTTATAGCCCTTTGAATTGATTTCCATCACCCCAGATCATCCTGCGCTTACGTTGGCTTCTGTACAAAGTTCAGTACAAACTGCAATCGTTGTAATTAGCCCAGCGGACGTTTGTAATCACCGCAGAAGTTTTTTTTTTCTGGGTGCAAATGCAATTTTGTTT